TAAATTAAGTCTTAATTGTAATGAATATAATTTTAAATATATATATAACGTGTCTATAAATACATTTTGTCTGTATATTTTGTTTTCTGTTTGATTTCACTTTTGGTTTTGTTGTCATAAGATATAAAGAAATGATAAAATTATTGAACACGTCTTCACATGATTTTCACGTGAAATAAATTTAGAAATGATACATAAGTACATGTATTTCTAATTAAGAGCAAAGTTTTCACGACTCAATTCTCAAAGTCTAACGAGTAGTCAACAAATTTAAATTCTATTCACAAACACATTCCCACACTTCAGTACAATACAGTACAGTACAGGATCCCAATTGCAATTTCGATCCAGATCAATCAAATTCGAGTTTAACACTAATTTTATAATTTTATAAAATGATATTTTATAACTAGTTTATAAAATTTTAATTTAATTAATTACTATATAATTATATGTTATTTCAATCAAGTTACAATAAATCAGATGGTTAGCACATAATAATATAATGCACTATCACTGTATTTTGCTAATTTCGAGTAAACAAGAATTTTATATAATCTATAACTAGTCAAGGCAATTTAATAATAATGATTTTCTAGGTTATCTAGTTTCCAAAATTTTATTAAATGATTTTATTTTAAGTACAGTATTTTTATATCAAAAAAATTGTACAGAAAACTGTGGTTCTATTAAATAATTATTTTAAAAGTTATTGAAATTAATATAAAAACTAAAACTCTATTATAATAAAGTTTGATTTAATCATTAGTTTCTTTGTAACGTAAAACAAGTGAAATCAAAAATAACACCAAAAACTATTGTCGAAAACAATTATTGACAAACTTGTTTCTTAACAACTTCTATATTACAGAATCACCACATTCTGTGTCAACGGAATTATTTAACTTTTGTTTTGAACGGATTATAGATATTCTATGATAAAGTTTTAAATTAATTTTTTAGTGTTTATACTAGTAAACACCAATTAGATGACAGTATTGCTAATCCACTTAATTCCCTACAGAAAGTTAAAGTTGCTTCCCTATTGCTAACGAGTAAAGCACTATATATTACCCATTTGACTTTGACTTACATTTGACTTTAATTGATATTAAGAGTCAAAATATAGTACACAAACATCCACGACAATTTTCTATATAGTCTGTTTTGTTTGTTGGGTTTAGAAATTAATTAAATAGAAATAATGTTAAAACATGACATTGTTTGGAATTGTTGTCACTTATTAGAAATGTAAAATAGTTTGATTTGAAAATATTTAGACATTTAAAACATCATTATGTGATTTTTTATAAGTGTATTTATAATATATTGCTGTATAAATAATTTTTTCTTAAGGTTTTAAAAATTCTATAAGTTTGTAAATTAAAGTTTATTAATTTTAAAGAATTTTTAATTAATTGTTAAGTAGAATTAGCTTATATACTTATAACTTATAAGTTATAAGACTTGTACAATATTTATTTTATAAAATAATTTGATAAAAATGAATATAATATATTTAAAATACTGTTTCTTGAATAAAAATAAATACAGAAATAAAAATTACATGATGTTGCTGTCAAAGATTAATTTCATTACAATTGGAGCTAGGTCATGCCATTTATTGCTGAGTGGATGTATTAATTCAATGGAAATCAATAAGTACAAAAATCAGTAGATAATATACTGTATACCAAATCCAAGCAATAATCTCTGTCTCTTAGATTTAATGAAAAATTAAATGACAATTAAGACAATAATTGGCTTTAATTATTAAATTAACATTAGTTTCCCGAACTCACGCTATCTATTGGTATAATGAAAATGAAAAAGTGGTACAAAATGTGGAGCAATGAGTGAATGCATGGAAAGTTTGTCTCGGAGGCGGTCTCTCATTACTTGGCAACAAATAGAGCCCAAGAATTACTATGCATTCAAAGCTTGTAATACAAGCCTTGTATCTCACCTTAACTTTAAGTTTTCATAGTCCTGTACAGTGTGCACAGTCCCTACACTTTTGTTCCCATTTCTAAGAATAAGCACTAAAACCAGAATTCAATTCTGACTATAATTATATATTATATATTTACAATATTTCTCAATATTTTCACTTTCAAGTCATATGTCAGTTATGTTCAATTGATTTCGTGCTGAAAAATATCATAGAAAATGCTTTCAATCGGAAATCAAGTTCTAAAGTAAGTTTTGTACAAAGTTTTTATAGTAGTGTTAACATGTTCATTTTCTTAATTAAATATATTTTTAAATTTTAAACCTTATTTAATGTTATTTAATGAAACTCAAATTGAAATTATAAACTGAAAACAAAATTACTGTATAATTTTTTATGTGTTATCTCTAAATGTAACGTTAAGTCGAGATAAATATAACTTTTGATAACCAGATCTAAAAACCCCTCAAAAAACTATCGCTCAATAAACTTGTTTTTTAGTTAACTTTATAACTAAGATATGGTTGCATTGAATATTTATTGGACTCAATTGTATGCTCTCTAATACTGATAACTTGCAAACTTTGGACATGTTGTGCATTAATTGTCTGACAAAGTCTTTTAGACAAATAGTTGTCTACCAATTGATAACATAAAATTCAATGTCAAATGTTTTATTGCATGGAAATTGATTGATAATTGTTGACAACACACTGGAAAGTGTGGTAATGTTCCCAAATTATCTTAAATTTTACAATATTTTTTATAATGATATGTAATAAGTTAGTTAACTTATTTACTTTACTGTTAAATAAGTTATATATTTTTAAAAGAAAATTTCAATTTAATTACTAATTTCCATTAATTTCGGACATATTTATTCATAGTATTTTTTAATGAACTATAGATTTCTGAAATTATAAGAGAGATGTTTAAAATCAAAATTAAATAATCGGTTGATAGGGTGTAAACTTCAAGGTCAGGGCATCCCTCGTCACTACATTCAAGGATATTCTGATTATTCCACTCGTATTCCCAATTGAATTATAATTGAATACAATAACATTTGATATGTTTTCGTGTCAATTGTTTACTATTTTATAATATTTGTAAAAAATACGAAAACATATTTTGATTTCATTATATGTTTGATGAGTTTTGGCAAATAAACAGATCCTTGAATTTCAAAATACTACGGAATTTCTGACATTTAGTGTATAAATATTTTGTAATGACTTGACTTATTGTCAACTATTACAAGTATACAGTAGTTTATTAGTGTTTTACAAAGTTTTCTATCATTCATATGGTTTATAATTACAATTCTTGCTAATTATAATATACCTGACAAAATAACTTATACAAAGCATATATTCAATACAATATAATTTTAGCATTTAATTTAAAATAAAATATTTTAATACTTCTAACTAATAAAATATGTTAAAACTTAAACGATAGATTTTATCGAATTTATATTTAACAAATAGTGGAAAACAATTTTTTAAAGTGTCGTAATGATAAGTTGATTAATAAGAACCATATATAACACATGAGAATTACTTACTTGTTAGTGATAACACTGATAAAACTTTATCGCACATTTCACCTAAGAATAAATAAGCTCACATTAGCTAACTCTCAAGTATAGTGTTTAGTTTTATGTTTTAAATTAAATGAAAATATAAATTTAATACTTAAAATGTTATCCAGGTTTACAGCATATTCCCATCGTTCACAACTCATAGCCCTAACCTGTCAATCATGTGTCCGCTCATTGAGTTATGCGGTTCCCAAAGAAAATATAACTCAATTAAGTCCTAAAGTAAAAAGTTTTGTGGAGGAGAGGGCCAGACTCTGTCAGCCCAATGACATCCATATATGTGATGGAAGTGATAAAGAAAACAATTATTTATTGGATTTAATGCAAAAACAAGGAATGATTGAACCATTAAATAAATATAAGAATTGGTATTATAATAGAAATTCTGATGAATTATTTTAAAATTTCAAGTAATTAACTAACAATTAAACCGCTAGTTGGCTGACACGTACAGACCCGGCTGATGTAGCCCGGGTGGAGTCACTTACTTATATTTCAACTCATAATAAGAGAGATACCATTCCCACCCCCAAGGATGGAGTAAAAGGAACTTTAGGTCTGTCCTGAAATGTCTGCATTTTGAATGAAAAATATTTAATTGAAATAATTATTTGCTTTCTTCAGGCAATTGGATGTCTCGCGAAGAGATGGACAACGCGTTGAACCAAAGATTTCCGGGTTGTATGAAAGGGCGGACAATGTATGTAATTCCCTTCAGTATGGGTCCCATCGGATCTCCCCTCTCGAAGATTGGCATTCAGTTGACAGACTCTCCATACGTTGTCGCGAGTATGAGAGTTATGACACGAATGGGTTCACACGTTCTCAAGACATTAGAAAACGAAGACTTCATCAAATGTATGCACTCTATTGGACAGCCATTGCCTATGAGTAAGCCCGCAGTGAACAACTGGCCGTGCAATCCGGCACAGACCATCATCGGACACATTCCAGAAAACAATGAAATCAGTTCATTTGGATCAGGTCTGGAGATACGGAATTGCTATCAATTAATTACTTAACGGATGCACTTATCTATAGGTTACGGAGGAAATTCACTTTTGGGCAAAAAATGTTTTGCCCTCAGATTGGGCTCAATTCTGGCCAAAAGGGAGGGCTGGCTGGCCGAACACATGTTGATTCTGGGGATTACTAATCCTAAAGGAGTCAAGAAGTATGTCGTGGCGGCGTTCCCCTCTGCGTGTGGCAAGACTAACCTGGCTATGATGACCCCCACCCTCCCCGGCTATAAAGTGGAGTGCGTTGGCGATGACATCTCTTGGATGCGTTTCGATGAGAACGGAGTTCTTCGGGCTATTAATCCAGAGTTCGGTTTCTTCGGAGTGGCGCCCGGAACCAGTGAGAAGACTAATCCCAATGCTATGAACACAATCCAGAGGAATACTATCTTCACAAATGTCGCTAAAACAGAAGACGGTTTGTATTTTGTCGGCTATTCTTATGAAACAATTAATGATAAGAAATATTTATATTTCAATTTTAGGCGGATTTTATTGGGAAGGATTAGAGCATCACATTAAAGACAAGAACATTCAAATCACTTCCTGGTTGGGCGACAAGAACTGGAAACTTGGTTCAGACAAACCCTCATCGCATCCCAACTCGCGCTTCTGTACCCCCGCGAGTCAGTGCCCTATTATGGACCCCGCGTGGGAGGACCCCAAAGGAGTGCCCATTAGTGCCATTATATTCGGTGGTCGACGTCCTAAAGGCGTTCCACTGGTGTACGAGTCATTCAATTGGAGACACGGAGTACTACTCGGAGCGTCCCTCAGATCGGAGGCAACGGCAGCCGCCGAACACAAGGGGAAAGTCATAATGCATGACCCCTTCGCCATGAGACCCTTCTTCGGCTACAATTTCGGTCATTATTTACAGCATTGGCTCGACTTCGAGAAGAAACCCAACTTAAAACTGCCCAAAATATTTCACGTCAATTGGTTCAGAAAGGGAGAGACCAGCGGACAGTTCTTATGGCCTGGTTTTGGAGAAAACAGTCGAGTCCTCGACTGGATCTGCAAACGAGTCGATGGCGAAGATGTGGCACAAGTATTGTCTTAATAACTAACGAGTGGTTCAAACTTTTTTAACCCTTTTATTCACTTTTTAAGGAAACACCGATCGGTTACATACCGAAAATGGGTGCCATTAATACGGATCAACTGAAAGAAAAAGTGGATTTCGAGGAATTATTTTCTGTTCCCAAAGACTTTTGGCTCGAAGAATGCGATCGAATCAGGAATTACTTCACAGAACAGGTTAACAATGATATGCCGGACGAAGTGTGGAACCAATTGAAACAATTGCAGCAAAGATTACAACAACAGAAGTGATCGCTTGACTCATGTCTTGTTCTAGTCTTACAAATGCCATCAATTCATTGACAATAAAATAATTTTATTTTACTTAAAATCTTGTTTTATAATTCAAATAAAGTTTAGACACAACAATAAATGTGTTCTGGTCATAATTTATCAAGTTGTTTGATCATGGTAGATAATAGTATTATTAATTGAATAAAATTACTAGTGGAATAAAAATATATTAAAATTTATTATATTGAACATGATAGACTAATTACCGGTATAATTTTATTAAGTTAAAATAGAACAGTCAACAAATGTTATTATTTAACCAGGGTTATCTAATTATAACTTTTACTATATTTGCTTTGAATTGAAATGAAAACTTTATTTTATTGTCGATTCTTGAATATTAAGAATTGAATGTTTGAGCCAAAAGGGGGCACACATTGAGTGTCACGTAATGTGTGAATCACTCAATAATGAGTCAAACAAAACAAAACGTATTATAATTTCAATGCTTTTGAAAGTGAAGTGAATTTGTGTGAAGAAAACAATGAGTTCTTCGAGGAATAGACACGAAGACAGACATCGACCACATGAGAGGTCACCCTATGATGACTCACGAGACACACGAAGACATTCACCACACTCTTCACGCCATAGAAGTGATGATAAATATGAGCGAAAGAGAGACACCGATAGAGAGGACTCCCGATCGGCACGAAGAAGGGATGGGAAGAGGAGAAGGAGTTCATCGAAGACACGACTAGACCATCGAAAGCGAGGCCGGAAGGGGTCGACGCCTTCCTCGTCGGCCAGCGATAGTCGGAGTAGAAGTAGAAGTCGAAGACGTGACTCGACTTCTTCGGTGACATCTCGTGACGGATCAGAGGGTAATTTAGTTTTAAGATAATTATGGGTCAAACGTTTTAATGATATTTTCAAGAATTCATATTGAATTAAAGGTTTGCAACGATATATTCATAAACTATAAACTGTTTGCCATAATAATGATATTAATCTGTAAATCAATGCATGTTTTTGCCATATATTCCGGCCCTTTAGGGTAAAAGTCAGGTCGCCTGACATAATGTAACGGTTGACAAATTATATTGAATAATTCAAAATAGTTATAAATTTTATTCAAATCAAAATATATAATTACAAATGAATTGATTTATTGGTGAATAAAAATATTTTACGAACTTTTGAATCGAGTGATCATTTCGACGATTATCGTCGGTATCGGTAGCGCTTGAAGTGGAACCACAGCTGAAGGATGTTGTTGTGGAACTGACTTCGGAAACCACTTTTGTACGAGAAATTCCACTCTCTGTTCACGATTTTGAAGCAAATGTCTTCATACGGCGGACCAGAACTGAACCGAATTTGCGCGAAGTCTCGGTTCTCGGCACAGGCAGTGTAGAATATCCATCCGCAGACGCTGAACAGCTAGTTTAGCCCTATTTTATATAACTTAAACATAGGGACTTGGTGAAACCCGCCGCCCAATAGGTGTAGCATTACCCAAACCAACATAAATAAGGTGACAAATCCCGTATGAACTCTATTGAAATACCGGGGCTTTCGGGGGCGGTATTTATCAGACCACGAGTACTGCTTCTCCACTTCTTTGATCTGTTCCTCGACACTGAAGATGGCCTCGTCGTCATTCATACCCTTTCGCGCCTCCTTTTCAAACGCCTGTTCAGCGGCACTCATCGCACCCTTTGTCTTGCCTTCATTTGAGTCCACATTTAATAAGCCTTTCCTCTGTTCTTCTAATCTTCGCATATCTTCTTCCACTTCAATAACCATTGTTTGCAATTCAATGTCATTCGTCGACAATAACTTCGGTGAGTATTGACCCCTTTCGTAGTCTTCAATACATTTGGCAAACGGATCCATTTCTTCTGCTTCTTCTTCTTCAAACTTGTCGTCATCTTCTTCTCTGGAAGTGGTGGCCATCTCTTCTTGCTTTATGTCAGTGTTGGTGTCAATGATGGGGAATAATGGCTCGTTTGCTATGGTTTGAGGTATTTTGTGGCCCTTTTGTTCTTCTCTCAATCGATTCAATCTCTTATTGAGATTCAGTTCGTGGAGCTCCCGGAGTCTGGCTCTGGCTATATGTGCCTTAAGTCTGGACAGCAATGACTCCCAATATCCGATATCAATGCCCTCTTCATTGGAATGGATTTTGGTTTCTATAGATTTCTGTAAGGCTTGCAATTGTGCCGGAGTTTTGTCTTTGAAGACCTGCACGACATCCTGAGTGACGGCAGGATTAATGCCTTCCCTCCTCTCGACGGCACTCTGTGTCTGACATTTCTTAAGTTTACTCAACTCGTCCTCCACTATAATCTGCAAATCCTTCCAAAACTCTAAATTCTTTTGGCTGTCGAGAGTCATATAGACTTTGATGTCTTCGAACAGATCCTCCAAATCATTGATCCGAAGGCCATTGAGGCAGAGGTAGGGCTCGACTAAATCGGTGGCCATTTCTTCAGTCTTTTCGGTCTTTTCGGACTCTTCGTCGACTCCGATGTCATCGCCGAAAGCACTGATATATCTCGCGAGCAAATCGATGGGTTTGGCTCTGTTCTCATTGATCCGCAGTTTAGACCTGAGTTTGGCCTGTTTTAAGTGAAAGATGTCTTCCTGTTTCTCCCACTCCTTGAACTGTTCCGCCTCCTTCTCTCTCTGCATCCGCGACATCTCGTCGTCCCTCATCTCCCTCTCCCGTTCCCTCTCGAGACGTCTCTCCTTAACCTTCTCGAGCTCTCGTTTAGTCATTTGCATCTTCTGGCGGTTCATGCGGTCGATCTCCTCTTCGCTCACATTCTTGAGACCCATTTTGTCGTATTTCTTGTGCCAAACGAATGTCTTGTGAAGGTTTGCGTCGCCGAAAGGGTTGTCCGCATTCGTGTATCCCATGTACTCCTCATCCCAACCACTCATGAGTTTGCGTTTCTTCTCTTTCGCCTCTTTCTTCGCCAGACGTCTCATCCGTTTCTCTTCCGGTGTCTCCAAAGCCTTATAGACCTCTTTCCGTCGTCTCATCTCTTCCTTAGACTTGGCTTTCAGTCTCTGCTTCTGTTCCAACACTTCCCTGTGATTTGACGACAACTTCTCGCTAATCAATGCCATCCTCTTTCTGCTCTCACCCTCTGATCCGTCACGAGATGTCACCGAAGAAGTCGAGTCACGTCTTCGACTTCTACTTCTACTCCGACTATCGCTGGCCGACGAGGAAGGCGTCGACCCCTTCCGGCCTCGCTTTCGATGGTCT